GCGAACGGATCACAGACAGGCTGGGAGACAGAGGGACAGTGAACGCATCACAGAGAGGCTGGGAGACAGAGGGACAGTGAACGCATCACAGACAGGCTGGGAGACAGAGGGACAGCGAACGCATCACAGAGGGACGGCGAAGGCATCACAGAGAGGCTGGGGAGACAGAGGGACAGCGAACGCATCACAGAGAGGCTCTTTCCCGTTTTTTCATTTAGTTCTAATTTGTTCAGTCAGAACCAGAGATATGAAGTGAACCGGGTCGGTGAACCGGGTCGGTGAACCGGGTCGGCTCAGCAGAGGAAATTTCTCGTTTCTGGGATTAGAATCAAACATTTTATAGAACACCACATTGGACCCAACCAGTCCAGAACCAGAACATCTTTCCTTTATAGATTATTTTCTACTCACTTAAATTAAAATATTTTATGTTTAGTTTCTGTCAGTCAGGAGTTAAAGCTACAGATCTGCTTCTGGCCCGGGTCCAGTTCTGGTTCTGATCCGGTTGGGTCTCAGTGCTGCTTGTTGGGTCTAAGGTGGGTAAAGCCAGAAATCTCTTGACCTCTAAAAGACCTTGAGCCCTGAGTTGGCGACCTCTAGAGAGATCAACAACAAACCAGAGTCACTTCCTGTGTGACTGTCGGTTCTGATGGTCCGATCAGGACCGGTTCGGTTCTTACAGGATGGAAAACAGGATAGAGTTCTAAATGACATGAGCGGTTCTGATCAGCCGGACCTTGCGCTTGCATCCGGGTCCGGACCAGCGCCAGCGGGTAACTGGCCAGCTGCCCACAGGTGCTGGAGGTGGTGCCACAGGCCAGCAGCACAAAGACTCCCGGGTCGGCGCTGTCCGTGGCGAAGCGCTGCAGCCAGGAGTTCTTCAGGGTCTGAGGAGAAGAAACGGGTCAGACAGCAGAACTGGCGCGGCGTCCCGACCCGCGGTGCCGGTCCACTCACCTCGTAGACGGCCAGGTCGATGCCGGCGTACGGGATGATGCCCAGCATGTTGGGGACGTAGCCCTTGTAGAACGCCGCCACGCCTTCCCTCTGCAGGATGTGTTTGGCGCAGTCCAGGATCCCAGAGTACTGACCCGTCTTCCTCAGGGCCAACCGGGTCTTCAGAACCTGAGGGACAGGAAGCATCCGGCCATTTCACACTGCAGGGGAAACGCAGCTTGGAGAATTGTGGGAACGTCACACCGGACCTCCACCATCCTGGGTTGTGCAGGGCAGCAGCTGCAGGCCTCAACCCTCAGCACACACACCCTGCTTTCCTGGAACCTTCCTGGAGCTAGCCGAGGTTTACCAGGGCTTTTCCAGGAGCCTGCAAAGCGTTATGGTGGAACTTTCCAGGAACTCAATAGGTACAGTTCCAGAACTTTTTTGGAACTTACCGCTTTCTTTCCCTTAAAGTTCCAAAATGTTTCTGGTAAGTTCTGGGAAGATTTCTGGCAAGTTTAACAAATTTTAATGCTAATTTTTTATGAATTAGCATATAAGATGCTTCCTCTCAACTGTCCATCATCCTGATTGCATGCCTGCCTCGGAGCAGCCTGGCTACATAAATGGAAGGTTTCTAATCTTTCCTGGGTTTGGTGTAAATTCTCATTCAGTGAGGAACTGGATGTTGGTTTTAGAGGAGTTGAGTGTTGGCACCGGGAGGACGCCCCTCACCTCCATGGGGTAGATGCTGCTCTGGGCGATCGCCCCAGCCAGAGATCCCGACACGAACCTCTCCGTCATTCCCAGCGTCTCCTGGTTGCTCCCGATGAGCCGTTTAATCTGAGAGACAGCAGATCAGATTCACTCAGCAGGAAGGACCTGGAGCGGCTCCGTGACATTCTGACCCGGTTCTGACCCGGGTCTCACCTGCTCATAGGCCATGAACTTGATGGCGGACTCTGGACCGATTTTGATCACGTTGATGCCGTTTCCTCTCCAGAGCGAGCGCACGCCGCCCTCGCGGATCATCTGCAGGAAGCCGCTGCCGATGCGCATGCTGTTGGTTTTGGAGGCGTGGACCTGAGAGGGACGGCGCTTTGCTGCATCTTATTCATAATCAGTAACTTTGATCAATACAGTTACAAAAATGCTACTTGCATCCAATATGACTTTAAATGAACCCGACTTCCACATTTAATGCCTTGACATTGGGCCTCCGTCTCTTTAAAACCTGCTGCTCTTTCTGAAGCTCCGCCTCCAGGAAGTCATTCCAACATGGCTCCTGTATTAACCCTTTAACTGCTGAGCTCAGCAGTTCCACCAGCTGTTTGCTAACTCCTGCTGGCTAGTCTGAAGGAGCTGAGTGGGGAGGAGCTGTGTCTCGAAGGCGGGGCTAGGTCCACCCAGACGTTTTGCACAGGTGATTCGTTGCCATGGAGATTAAAGGATTTATCAAACATGAAAAAACTCCAGGTTTGTTTCTGATGAGGGATAAAACACGATGGATTTTACGATACTGGCCCTTTAACAGTTTAATGGGTTTCATTGGCACATTCTGGCTGAACCGGCCCTTTAAGAACATTCATGACCTTGAACCAAAGTGAGTTTGACCCCTGTGGTTTAGGGTGTGACGGTGTTTTACCTGCATCAGAACCTTCAGCCGGTCCAGCGGCGCCGTGCAGGTCCGGGACACAGCGCCGGCGCCTCCTCCGGCCACCAGGTGGCGCCACCACATCCCGGTCTTCTTCTCCTCCGCGGTGAACTCATCGGGGACGATGATGCTCTCGCCGACATCCAGGATCTGTGGAAGGAGGGCGCGGCGTCAGGACTGCCGGTAACCTAGCAACAGCCAACAGCGGCGCGGCGTTACCGTGGCGTTACCGTGGAGTGCTTCCAGTGCAGGATGATCTCGGGGATGTTGTCGGCCGGGTGCAGCAGGTGGTAGTCCCGCCACTCGTCCCAGTCGATGGTCATGGTGCCGTTTTTATCCATGCTGCAGGAGGAAGGACACGTCAGTACAGAACCGGGTCAGGGAGGTTCTGACATGCACGGCCGGATCGGACCAGAGCGCCATGCTGGAACTGAAACAGAAGCTGCAGGACGGCAACGAGCAAAACAAAACAAGAAGCAGCTGGAGGTCAGCCAGAGGTCAGCTGGAAGTGATACTTACTGCAGGACTGGGGTCCAGATGAACCCCGCCCTTATTCTGGGACAGACCAGAGACACACAGAACCACAGACCGGTTAGACAGAACCACAGAACCACAGACAGAACCACAGAACCACAGACAGAACCACAGAACCACAGACAGAACCACAGCCCTGTGGTTGGACCGATGCTTATGACTCCATAAACTTCATCGTTTTGCTGATGACACCATAAAACCACCAGATCATCATAACGGTGGAAATGACCTGGAACCTGCTTTAGACATGATATAATATCTGGACATTTTAAAAACTAAGTTCTATTTATCCACATAATAAAACCAGGAGTTCACATGTCGACAGTTTTATTAAAACCATAGAAATAACTTTACATAATTCTCTTCTTAATTCAGACAAGAATAATAATAATAGTAGTCAATGATTCATGTAACAAAATTTAATGAAGCTAAACTTTAAAACATTTTAATTTAATACTTTCTTAAATATAAAAATAATTAAATGTGGAAAGAATTAAAAATTCAGACATAATTTAGTTGAATTATTTCATATAATTTATTGGTTCCTCTAAGTTGGTGGGCGGGGCCAGTGCTGCTATCGGCAACCTGATTGGTTGGTCTGCAGTGACGCTGCAGTGAGGTGAACCAATCAGATGTCTGGGTTCATTCAAAGCTGCCATGATGGAAATAATTAATGTGAAAATTCAACTTTAAATTCATGTTTTACATTTATTTATTGAAGGTGTCATTTTGACTGGACCATCTGGACCATCTGGACCATCTGAACCATCTGGACCATCTGGACCATCTGAACCATCTGAACCAACTGGACCATCTGAACCAACTGGACCATCTGGACCAACTGGACCATCTGAACCATCTGAACCAACTGGACCATCTGGACCAACTGGACCATCTGGACCATCTGGACCATCTGAACCATCTGGACCAACTGGACCATCTGGACCATCTGGACCATCTGGACCATCTGAACCAACTGGACCAACTGGACCATCTGAACCAACTGGACCAACTGGACCATCTGAACCAACTGGACCAACTGGACCATCTGGACCATCTGGTCCATCTGGACCATCTGAACCATCTGGACCATCTGAACCATCTGAACCATCTGGACCATCTGGACCATCTGAACCATCTGGACCAACTGGACCATCTGAACCATCTGGACCATCTGAACCATCTGGACCATCTGGACCATCTGGACCATCTGAACCAACTGGACCATCTGAACCAACTGGACCATCTGGACCATCTGAACCATCTGAACCAACTGGACCATCTGAACCAACTGGACCATCTGGACCATCTGAACCATCTGAACCAACTGGACCATCTGAACCAACTGGACC